AAATATATTCACAAATTATCTATTTCAGAATTCTAACGTTTAAAATACCCCTACAGGTGGCAGCCAAAAGAAAGGTGTCTTGTTACTTGTTGCAAATATATCAAGGATTAGTCAATCCAGGATAACACAAAAAAAACAGCTTAATCCTATTTCCTAGTTTGGTGAACTTTTAATGATCTATGTAGGGRTTACCTCGACCTCAGTCCTCTGATGGGCCTTTAAAGGGACAAATACACTCAGAACTGAATTTAGGCCACGTCAGGTTGCCTTAACTTTTCAAAGAGACATTCTCTTCTTATTAATCAGATGATAGACAGAAGAATCTTTGTCTAATTTGATTTATTGTTCTATTAACTGAAATTTATTACGCATTTTGATAATTTTGTTTATCAAAGTTACAGGAGGAAGGAGGACAGATCTATTTTCTCCCTCAGTATGATTTCAGCTATGTATGGATTTTCTGTGCAAAAATTTTATTTAACTAAAAAATCTTTATGGTTTAAAGTTGATGAAACATCAATGTTTTACTTGTCTGAATCATATTTGCAGATGTTTTGAATTTGAAGTGTAGTGTCCTAAAAGTGGGGTTTTGTCTCAGGAATGTACACAAGTGTAGTCCATCAGCCATCCAGCTTCAGAGTTCCACACACATCACCATATTAGGACAACGCTTGAGGTACACCGTGACAAGATTTATGTACATCTGTCTAGGATGTTTAAAGAACCCTGTACACCCCCACTCTGGGCCTTCTTTCTCCATCTTTCTAACTTGGTGAAATCATTTGGTTGGAGGCCACAATTTGGTTTTAGGCTGTATCTCCTTGAACTGCTAAAATAAAGGTGCTTGCTGTTCAAACCAGCCTGTTTCCAGAGTCATCTTTATCCGGGCAATAGCAGTTCCACTTCAACAAGAAGACGTGGTTTTTTTCTACACTTCAGAAGCAATTCAGTTTTCATTTCAGTTATGTTTTAAAGAAGTTCTCATCAGATGATAATTAAATGGGTCACAAAATGTTTTGTTTCTGAACTACACAGAAGTAAAAATCTTGCTTAGTTTCAGGAGGTGACGGCAAATCTCTGAAACTAACATTTTCCTTGATATCACTTTTCTAATCTCACCTCCGGAGGGCGGAACTTAGATCCTCTAAGCTCTTTAGAAACTAACAGTTTCCGCCCGGACGGCAGAAAGTGACGGACCGCCCGTCTGTGAAGACGTCCAGTCTTCTCTCGCAGCTATATTCTCGAACGGGGAATCAAGAGCTGAAACTGTGTTGGTTTTAGCCCTTCATGCCAACAGGGAAAACCGCACAGCTGGATCCGACCAACGCCCGGTCGATCCACTTAGAAAACTTTCCTGCCGGAAGTCTTATTTCGAAATCCAGGTTCAGTTTGTTTTCGCCTTTTTTCTACGGCTTGACGTGGACGCAAGCGAGTAGACCTACATGCCTTCAGGATCCCCTGTTTTGACGGTCCTAAAATGGATTTTCTAAACAGAACCCCAAAATACCTGGACAGGTGACAGAACTCATCTTCAAGGGTAAAAGCTGGCATGTGTTGTGAACTTTGCTGTCTGACCGACGCAAAGTAGAAAACACCTTGCCTTTCTCTGGTTAAACCCATAATATTTAGGATAAACGTTAGGAAAAGCTAACACCTTATTTTCCTCCCTTTTTCTTAAAGCCTTCCTTGCCAACTCTAAGTTATTTGCCTCAAATGTCTGGTATTTGAACATCTAAAACTTGACGTTTGTGTTGTATTTAAGTGTGGTTAACAATTAAGAAGCTGAAGCGCTTTTTTTTGGTCCCTAAAAATTTTATGGGAAATTAATTGCTCACAATTAAGTGTATTTTAGTGATTTTGTATGATTTGAAAAATAAACGGTCGCAGTTATTTATGGATCTAATCAAAATTCACTGACAGAGTCACTTTGTGTGTCCATTCATTTTTGCACGGGAGTAATAGTTTACTGAAAATAAAAGAGATCCCTTGCTAAAATATATTCCTTATAACCTTGTTATAAGAGTGTAAGACTGAACCCTTACATCTGTCATGATGAGAAAACTCAACAATGAAAACACAGAGCTGAAGGTGAAAACTGATGTTTAGTTGGACAAGCATAGAAAACCTCCAACAGCTGCTGTGAACTGACCTCAGAACCTCCAGTCTACAGTTTGGACTCTCCAGTCCAGAACACAGAAGCTCCACTGCAGMGGTAGACAGGTCGGTCCCACTCAGGTCCAGATGTTTTAGATGGGAGGGGTTGGACATCAGAGCTGAGACCACAACTTCACAGTGAGTGTCTGAGGGTCCAGCAATAGCAGCAGCTCTGATGATAGAAAAATAAATCAGTTGTAATGAAATCAGCTGATCCGTCTGACAAACAGTGATGTCATCATCTGAGTAAACAGTGATGTCATCATCTGAGTGAACAGTGATGTAATCATCTTATGAGTGAACAGTGATGTAATCATCTTATGAGTAAACAGTAAGGTCATCATCTGATGAATAAACAGTGATGTCATCATCTGATGAACATCTGTTCTTCATATCCTCTGACTGTGTGAYTCAGTGAATCTCTGCAGACTTTTAATTTTTCTTCAAGCTGCAGATGAAGGAGGGAACATGGTGTTACATTTCTGCTTCCATCAGGTCCAGTCTGTCAGTGGATGTGATCCAGACTCACAATAAAGACATCTGCTTTCCAAAAACACTTGGAGCTTTTGGGGGGATCAGAACATTTAAGCAGGTTCTGGTGGTGGTCTGGTTCAGCTGCAGGAAGTCATGGACTAATGGTTCAGAGTCATGGAGTCACCAAATGAAGTTTAGAGGAAGATTAAACTATTACAACCTYAGAAACTCCCAGCTCCTCTGCTTCACTCTGAAATCAGACAAATATTTGACTATTTGACTCCATTTTCTCAACCATCTGAGGCCAAAATCCACCAGGTAACATTTGTTCAGGAGCTTTGAGATGTTGAAGCGAACAGAAATCTGTTCTGTCAGGTTTTAGCAGATGCTAACTCAGTTAGCATAACTTGCTGTTTCTCTCCTGAGTTCTGACTGCTGTCTGCTGCAGGTCAGACTCTGGATCCTCACAAGGACTTCATCCAACCTGACTGCAGACAGTCTGAACATGTTTGGAAGAGAAAATGAAAACAGAAATCAGTGGAACTAGTGTGAGAATAGATTCAGATTAAACAGTAGGGGGCAGTAAATGTCAGAAATCAGAAAAACGGATCCATGCATTTATCACATCTAGGATGGACTACTGTAATTCCTTATTTTCTGGGTCCCTATGGAGGCCCTTCAGSCATGTCACATTGGGAGAAGACCTTGAGGAAGACCCAGGACACTCTGGAGAAACTAGGTCTCTCAGCTGGCCTGGAAGTCCTCCCAGAAGGGCTGGAAGAGGAGGCTGAGAAAAGAGGTCTGGACTTCCCTGCTCAAGCTGCTGAACCCTGTGATCTGACTTCAGATAAAGTGAAAGATAACGGATGGATGTGCTTTTTGGCCAATTCAACCACACTACATGTGACGTAGCCCCAGCTGCCCAGCCTTCATCCAACTGAATGGTTATAGCTTCTTCAAAGCCCAACCTAAATAGCCAATCTGACCAAACACATCTTTAACAAACTCCTCCCACACAACAAGAAACTCCCACTTAGTGACTGCAGRGACCYCCTTCTCTGTGTTTACAGTAATTATGTTATTAAACAAGTAAAGTTGTAAAGTGCTGCACCTGTAGATCTGTTCCCTGCTTCACTTTATTCATTTACAATAAAATATGTAATTTATTTACAGGAAGTGGTGTCTAACATTACTGCATCAGAGGTGGTGGTCCGTCTCTTTCCTCCCACCTTCATGTCTGACTGTTTAACCTCTTCATTACCTGTGCAGGTGAGCTGTGCTCTGACAGCAGCAGCTTCACACACAGTCACTCCTCTTTGTTCACAACACAAATACCAGAGGACAGAGAGACACCTGTTTGTCCTCCACATGGATTTAGGAGTGTCTCTGACTCACATTCTATAAAATTAAACCTTTTCCTACATCTGAGCTTCGTTTTAGATGTTAGATTACATCATCAYACAGAGAAGAATCATACATGCAGGACTGATTTACATATTTAAATGAAGAAGTTTCTGACCTGAGCTCAGCTCTGTTTGTTTAGGTGTTTGAAGGAAAGAAGCACAGAAACATGTCAAACTCAATACTTCTGTGTGTACTCGTGTTTCACATTTTGTCACTACAACAGCTTTTAGTATCAATCTGGACTCTTTGATTCATGAGGCTCCTGGACTGAAGTTTTAGTTTGATTCAACATTTTAGTGTGTAAAATATGAGGAAACAGCTTTATAATTTAAAAACTGTTTTCTTACATTTTGTCTGTAGGGTCAGGTTCACTGTTGAAGTCTGGAGGTTTTGCAGTGGACCAGTCACTCTTCATGGACAGACAGCTGGATCTTGGAGGTTCTGCAGGTCCTGGGGGTCCTGCTTTCTGTCTGAGGTTCTGACCTCTGAAACACAAACATGTTCTTCAGAGTCCAGTCCAGCTTCTTGTGTTGGACAGCAGAGTTGATCCAAAACATCAGAACAGAGGCCTATTGTACAAAAGTCCGATTAATAAATYCAGGATCTGAGCTGTAAGCTGAGGTTGAACTAGCCTTCAACTTGTAAACAGCTGTAATCTGTTGCTCTAACACCAAGCCACGCTCAATTACGGTGGTTCATTCAAGTCAGGTGTAAATAATCTGGGATTAATGCACATTCATGGTTTGTTTACTAGACCCACTGGGTGGATCACAGATTTCCTGATCAGGCATGAGCAGTAAGACACATGAGTCTCACTTCTTCCAGCAGTGTAAGGGTTAATTATGGTTCATATGAAGAGAAACATTGACTGATGCTGAAATAATTTCAAAATTAAAACTTTTTGTGTCTGAATCTGTAAATTATCTGAGATTAACTAAATGAACAAATTAAAATGAACAGCTGATCGCTCACTGAAAATGATCGCTGTAAAAAAAAGACGAGGGACAGAGAGACGGGGGGATGGTAGAGTGG